CAATAATAAAACATTCACTCACAAAACTAAATTAATCAATACTATCTGAACAAAAGTCTTTTATATCATAACATAAACCCCCTCTGCAAGATAAAATATACACAATTTTTTTTTACTATATACACAAAGACTGCTCCAACATTTGCAGTTCCTTTGTTTGTCTCTCCAAACATTTGGTCTCCAGTAGGGCTTCTCCTTAACAGGATCCCTCAACTTCATTTTGACCTTGTGTTGTCTGAGGTCTATATTTCCTAATCTATCTGTATGCTGACAAAGTAAATTTTGTTCCTCTTCCTATCAGTCAGTTTACACTCACCTTGGACATCTCATCTCTAGGTTTAGTAGGTCCTTATCTTCTAAGACAAAATCACTGTCTGCTGGTTCTGCATCTATAATGGCCACACCTGCAACATCCATCTCTGTTTCAATAGCTGCACCCGTTAGGTCTTCTTCCCTCTCAAAATAATTCTTCAAAAGATTGGCATGGTAGATCTTGGTCTTCCCATTCACATTGTAGTCTATGCTGTTGAGTAGTTCCTGTACTTCAAAAGGTCCTTTCCATTGCAGGGTGAGTTTGTTGTGGTCTGTGGGCAGCAGAACTAAGGCCTTTTGTCCAACCTTAAAATGTCAATCCTTGGCCTTCTTGTCATAAAAATGTCTTTGACTACCTTGAGCTGTATACAAACTCTGTTGAGTGAGTTGACAGGTCTCCTCCAGTCAGTTTCTAAGGTCTAACACATACTGGTATGTCTTCTCCCATCCATAGCTCTTTCAATATTTGCATCGGACCACATATCATTTTTCTATACAGTAACTCGTAGGGTGAAAATCCTGTACTTCCTTGCAGGACTTCTCGATAAGCGAATAATACTGCCTGTAAGTACCTGTCCCACTCATGTAGTCTCTCTTGGCACATCTTCTTCAGCATACTCTTTAAAACTCCATTGACTCTCTCGCAAAGCCCATTACATTTAGGATTGTATGAGGGTGGTAAAGAGTTGCCGAGTACTGATGAGTCTGCACACTTCCTGCAACAGTTATGAAGTAAACTGGGTCCCTCTATCATTCACATTGACACTTGCAGGGGCTTGATGTCTTGTTTGCTCTTCTTTTCTTGAGCTCTAGTAGTGACTGCAGATGCTTCATCAATCTTCTTTCTGTCTAGTTCCTCAAAGTTTTTTTACTACCTGGTATATTTCCTATCACCAAGTCGTGTATTGGTTCCTTGATACATATGGCCTCAAGGTCTCCTACATAATATAGAATATCCACCTTTATTTTTGCTATGGGAAATTTTCTCAATGTCCCATCAATTAGCACAAACCTTGCCTGTCACCTGATGATCGGACATTAGACTGGTTCTCACTACTGCACCCAGTATCTCATAGAACCTTCACTTTCTTGTCCCCCAACATAGCCTTCACATATTGGCATATTATGATTTGTTGGCACATCTTGATATTTGTCGCATGCACTCATTACTATTGGCACTGTTGATCCGTTTGCTAACTTGAGCCAACCATGAATCGTACACTGATTGATCATGGTTTCTTGAATTGAATTTGACAAGTATTCTTGATTCTTTCTTTTGGCAGCAGCATCCATAGTGTCAGTTGCTCTTTTTTTTGTTTCTTACCAGCACTGTCTTTGTAAATGGCTCCAGCTGCTTTATGTTGAGGTTTCTGCTGTTGTTTGCTGGTAATGGACTTGCACTCCTTTGCAATGTGCCTCATTTTATAACAAACATAACATTTCTTCTACCTTATTTATTAACCTCCTACTTCTGGTCAGCCATTCCTGGGGCAAACATCCTCACTGGGCACCCTTTCTCTCACTTTAACATTTTTAAGAAATTATTAAAAAGATCCTAAATTAGGATATGAGCTCATAAACAAGGCAAAATCATAGAAGCAGCCATTTTTAGCTCATAGTAAAAGCATAAAAAATGTTAATAAAGTTATAAAAATACCTATTAAATCTATAAAGTAACAAATATATATTAATTATTACTCAAATTATTATTTCAATCATTCTTAATGTATCAAGAGTCTATATGCAAAGAAAAGCCAAAAACTATGCTTTTTATGATTAAATGAAGATATGACCCAAAGGTATTTTGTGGGCTTTAACTTTAAGGCATACCTAGTTTTCAATCGCCCAGGCCCCTGACCAGTTGTACTGTGTCAGCAGGCCTGTAAGACTGTGACTAGTTTAATGGTTACATGTGTTAAAATAAGTGTAAAACAACTTATATTTGTAATTACGAATGTTATCCTTAATTTAAATAACATTGCAGCTTGGTCATCATTGCCAGTGTTTTAACATTGCAAGTTGTAACACTAACAGTAAAACTCCAGTTAACTTCTAACTTACCATTAAATGATTAAGTTCACATTAAACACAACAGTTCAAAAATGTTACCTAGTTGAGCAGTTCTATTAAAATTGTTAGTGCCATGTCATAACACCTTAAACTTACACTAGAGTTGAACTTGAATTTTGAAAGTTCGATACAACAACATTGGCTTTTTAATTTGAAAATTGAAGTCAAATGCTCAAAACACGCTAGTCATATTACAGCTTCTACAGTCTACTACTAGTATTATTACTAGTAGTAGTACAATATTGCAACGAATCACGATTTTAAGTTTTAAGTTAACATTCACTGATTCTGTCTTAGACTGGCTTAATAATAATAACTTGATGGTTGTATATACCCAGCATTTTTAAACTACATATCTATGAATTGATGCTCTTCTGTTTTTATAGTTTATATTTTGGAACTTTATTGTTATTGAAGCTTGCAAAACAAACAAAAGAAAGAAAGAAACAGGCCCCGAACTTCAAATTCAAAGTTTAAATCCCAAACACCACATATTTAATGGCGACGACAGCGAACACAAATATGTTCAACGTATTTCGTATTATAGCAAAACTAAATATGGAATAACTGTTTGTAAAGTTTAATAACCACCTTGTACTTGATTGAATAACGATTATAGTCAGATGACACTTACCATTTTTGATTCTTGATATTAATTTCCACCTAACCTTAACAAAATAACTTAAAATCGGTACACGTAGAAAATGCACCTTTACGCAAGCAGTATTTCTAAATTGCCCTGTGTATTCTGGATACCAAGTCGATTATCATTTAAAAGATAAAAATAAAATAGTTTAAATGTTACTTTTTTAATTTAAAATTTACGAATTTAGCAACTATTAATATCTGAAGGTTTAATTCATAATTATCTAATATTTATTGTAATTAATCTAAAAAAGCGGGGAACGAGAGTACTAAAGGGGCCGTCTATATATTTGACAAGACTTTCGTGATAAGCAAAAACTTAAAATCATAAATAATATTCAACATTAAAATAAAATGTTTTTAATTGTGACAAGTTTAACGTTGGATATTATTTATGATTTTAACTTTATACACAAGTGTCAAAATACCATAATTAAGCAAAAACTTGCTTTAAAAACACTTGTTAATATAATTCTTTAAAACGATTTAAAGTGGCAAAAAATCAAGAGTTAGATACTTTTTAAAACGGTAATTCGCTCAATGTTTCTGCTTTTTAAAGTAATCCAACATAATAACCAACCCACATAATATGATACTGAAACACAATTGTTAAACATGAAATTTATACAGTAATACTGCAGTCGAAAATCATATCATTTATAAAACAACTTGAATATCTCATCACTTCCTTATTCACATGGCGAATTTGTTTTTGTTTCTTGTTGTTTGTCACCAATAGAATATGTAGATTTTTGTAAATAGTGTACCGTATTTTTCGGAATATAAGACGCACCCTTATTTTGAAGACAAAGTTTTGGGAGAAAAAAGCTACAGTCGCATTTGAAAGATTTTTATTGAACAAAAATTCGATTTAATACTTTAAGAATTAATATGTTGTTACGTCT